AATTGGGCAGACATACCTCCATCCGTCTCGTGAGCCGTCTGGAAGACGCCATCTTCAATGACCGGGCAAACTCCTTATATGCTTTCCCATGCGACGGAAAAAATGTTGCTGGTCCACTACAACCACCATAGTCAAAGAGTCGTCATGGCTCTTTCTCTGAAGTGGTGAATCTCACTGACTGGCAGGAGATAAACGGTGAAGGAATGACACTCGACCTCGATCTATTTGAGGAAGTTCGAATCAATGCAGCATTCCGACATGAGGAAGAAAAAGAACAGCTCGATAATACAATAAGAATGTTCGAGAGAACGCATTCTTGATTGGTGATCATGTTTTGAAGAAAGCTGATCTAGCAACACAAGGTTAATTAGTCTGCAAGCTTTATCGACTTGGACCGAGCCCTACATCATTAATCAAAAAGTTGCTGCAGGAGTTTACAAGCTAAATTCATGTACCAGAAAAATGATTCATCAAACTTGGAGCGTGAATGATTTAAAAAATTCTTTCCTTGAAAGCTAACTATATTGCACTAAAATTTGAGAAATATAAGAGGAGTTTTATTCCTTCCTTTCATTTTTAATTTTTATACCATATGAATTTTTATTTCATTTTTATACTCTTAAGAAAAAAGTAACTGCAATATTGCAACCTCAGATTTAAACTACGCTCTGGTAATCATCTAGACGATACTCAGACAACTAAAGTAGCCTAAAAAGGCAAGAATTGTTCCGACACTCAGTCGCAAAACTCTTCAAACTTAAAATTTTAAGTTTTGAGAATTAACTTTAAGAGTTGTTTACTAGCCCAATAGCGATAAGGCTTTGCGAAGGGTTTCGAGAAAACTATCGGCGACTACCCCATTCGAGGTGTAGATCTGCCAAACAAAATTTTGGTTTGATCAATCAAAAACTTAGGTCCACCTAAGAGTTGACACCCAAAATAAACTAACTCGGTGCATGACATCCAAATGGTTAACAAAAATTTTGAATGACTAACAGCGACACCACGATGCTCAATCAACGTACGCAAGCTGAATCAACCCTCAAATTCGAGTGACAAAAGCTAAGATGCGGGCCAGACAAAAGTATCATTAATTAACTGAAGCAACGACGAACAAAATATTGTGATAAATAAAATTGTAACACAAGTAAAATGTCTGAAAGAGCATATTCTATTCATTCAATCATATGGTTTTACATGTATAAAAATATCTAGGAAGAACCCAAGTCTAAGAGTCATCAGGCCTATAGTGGACGATCCGACGTTTGCCATGTTGTCACCCTCTTAGTCTCCTTGGTCTTCAGCGTCGAGGGAGCGTAAAAATGCTACTTGAATTCTTTTATATTGGAGTATTTGGGGTCGACCATCCCAACCCTTTTGAACTGGTTTACCGCTATCTTTCTACCCTATTATAGCAGGTCTACTTCAGTATCAATGAATTCTTGATCGACGCTCAGCGACACCACGATGCTCAATCACCATACACAAGCTAAATCGACGCTCAGCTCTTCAGTGAAAAAAGCTAAGATGTGGGCTAGGCGAAACTATCATGAATTAACTGAAGCGACGACGAACAAAATAACGTGATCAATAAAAGGGTAACACAAGTAAAATGACTGAAAGAACATATTCTATTCATTCAATCATATGGTTTTACATGTATAAAAATATCCAGACGGAACCCAAGTCTAAGAGTCATCTGGCCTATACTGGATGATCCGTCGTTTGCCATGTTATCACCCTCTGAGTCTCCTTGGTCTTCCGACGTCTAGGGATCGTAAAAGTGCTTCTTGAATTCTTGTATATTGGAGTATTTGGGGTCGACCATCCCGACCCTTTTGAACTGATTGACCGTTATCTTTCTACCCTTTTATAGCAGGTCCACCTCAGTATCAATGAATTCTTTGGCCGTCTTTATGGTGGCCTTTTGCTCTGTTAGTTCGACATTCTCTTCTTGAATATCAGACACCCACTCAGATGTCAGCTTCTACATTTTTCAGTCGATCCTTAGCCTCAACTGTTCAAACTTTTGCCGCTTTGGCTTGCTTTCTGAATACCCTCGATTTAGACTCGACCTTCATGACCCTATGGTGTCTCGCAACATAACTGAGCAGTGGGAACTGGACAACCAACTAACAAATTTTTAGGGGTCAGAGGTTGTACAGATACTTCTCCTGACCCGCCGTCCACAGGACGTCCACGATGGTTGAAGCATACTCAGCCCAACTCCATGGTCAGGGGAAACCAACCTCCTTAAAATTTATCATTGCATAGCTGAAGTCCGAGTTAAGAAAGAACTGCGGTCGAATGCTATACACACAAGTGTCGAATTAAATTTTTATTTATGATAAAAAATATTTTACAGTTGGGTCTTTGGCTGTCTTAGGCAACATCAGACTTCGACCCATTAGAATTACATATAACGCACGCCTCCCAAACTTATATTCATTTATTCCCTCTTCTTTTGTTTAGACATGAGAAATCGAGCTAGTTTCCCGGACTGACGCCACATTGTTCTGAAGAGTCGTCATTACGGCCTGAAGGGTTTCCATGTTTGCATAGAGGACTGCCAGCTCCTTCAAATCTAATATGTCAGATTTCCTCTGAAGGTCGAATGCCTGAGCAAAAGATTTCACCGTCTCATCCAATAAGACAGTCCAACGACTTGTGGGAACCCACCGTTCGTTGGTTTCCCTTTTGATGCCCATTGGGGTCGGCTGATGGCCCCGTGTGACTTCATCTGGGACAGGAGCAGAAGTTCCCGTGGTCAGCAGCGTCTCGATGATTTGCACGGTCTCATATGAAAAATGAATAAAGTGTCAGTAGAGTGAAGGATAAGTTAGTTTTTTAACAAATATATTTTCTTTACCGATTAATCTTTCCATCTTCGATGTACATAGTCCCTCCCTGGCAAGAGGAAAAGCATCCACCTCGATGGTCTCGCAAACCAAAGGCAGAAGTGCAACATCCTCTAGCGATTGAACTTGAACATTCTCAGGCGGTTGAGCCTATGTTGCATTAGCCTTCTGTAGCTGTTATTGGGTCGACAGGCGAAATGGCTGCTACGGATTGGTTCTCTGGCCAGGACCAATGTGTTCATAATACGGACACCCGTCCTACTCACCATTACAAAGAGTGGTTGTGAGTCAGATGAATCTGCCATCTCCCATATCCTTTGTCTCTTCACTATAGCATGTGACCAATTTGGTCCCTTTCGGTCAGATCCTTTTGGAAAATCGAAAAGGACATTTCAGGCATTGGAAGACCTTGAGGCTTTGTGTACTTGATTTTAGAGGGAAGATCACATTTCAATGATCAAGTTCTCCTACAATAAAGCACTATATGACAGAAACTGCAGTACCCCACAATGTTGGGTAGAAGTGGGTGAATGTCAAATGTTAGGTCCTAAGTAAGTTCATGAAGCCACAAAGAAAATCAGGTTAACCAAGGACAGATTGATAGCTTTTCATAATCGACAACATAAATATTATGACCCAAAGTACGAAGCAGTAGAATTTAAAATTAATGATTTTTTATTTTAAAAACTCAGGCCATTGAATGGTACAATCAAATTTGGCCAATGAATCAAGTTGAGTTTCAAGCACATCAATCTTTTTGAAATTATATAAAAGGATCAGTCCCGTTGCTTACAGAGTAGCCTTACATGCTGATATGCCCGATATTTATGATGTGTTTCACATTGCAATACTGAGAAAATAGGTTCACTTAAAGATATTGAAGTACAAAAAAATCTAACTTATATCAAAGAGCCTGAAACTATTTTAAAAACTAATATTAGGAAGTTAAGAAACAGGAAAATTTCTTTTTTCAAGTTAAAGTAGAAACACATGCTAAAAAGAAACAGCATGTGAAAAAGAAGAAAAAATGCAAAAAAAACATCTCTTTCTATCGAAGTGAACTCAAAAATATCGGTGATAACATTTTTAAAGAGGGGAGAGCTGTAACACCCAAAATTTGAGAACCACATAAAATTTTGGCAACTTTAAAATTTATACCAAATTTAACATCCCTTAGAATTCGACTGATATAATCTTATAAAATTCTACACGTCCGTTTGATCAAATTTATATACAACACTATACATGAATTTTTAGATGGATGGAAAGATATAAAAATGATGAAGTTATAAGTTTAATTAACTTAATTAATTCTTAATTATTCCCACTAATCACACATTCTCACTAATCTTAATCAACTCCACAATTTTCTCTGCATGTAGCGGGTCGATTGGATCTAACAGGTAGAATTTGTGTGATTACATTAAATGTTGCATTTCCATTTCATTCTCCCCGCTCTCATTTTCCATTTCACCTGGCTTAAATATCCCTGATCGCGACACTGTAACAGAAGCGGGATCAAACTACAGCTGCGAGACCCAGAGATAGCCGCATACGGCAATTTAGGGTCTCGGGGAGGTTTTTGTGAGTACAAACCCTCTTTCATGGCAGTTGAGACATTCCCTTCTGCAGTATGCCATGGATAGGTGCACTTTTCATTTCCGGTATTTGTAGCGGAGGCGAACTTGTGTCAGAGAAGTGGAAATGCAAGTTAGAATGGTAATGTATGGTTTTCATTTCTGCTTTGCTTTTATTTTTGGATTGCAATTGTATGGCTTGGTCGATGTTGGGTTTGGTTCAATATGAATGCAATTCCATTCTCTTGCCAACTTGACATTAATAAAAAACTAATAAGATTGTGCTATATAATATGATATAAATTTACATATAAAATATATTAGTGCCAGAAATGCAACATTTGGCCATTTCCAAAATGTTTGTTCCAGCCATAGTGGCAATTGTATGGTTGCAATCTGTACGTAATAACTTAAAAAACTGATTAAATGTTGAGTTGGTTTATTTATATCCTGTCAGAGTTTATTTATCTTTAAGCGTAGCGATCAATCTGCTGCCAAGTTTTTGCTGATGTCTATAAAATATTTTCTTTTAACCATACCTTTTTTTTATTATTATTTGCTGCAGAAAGAAACCGAGTTGGTGAACAAATTTCTTTGTGATAATAATATCTCTAGTAAGGTTAGCAGCTACACTATTTTCTTAAAATGGGTTCTGATTTAATCTATTAGCTTCATGTGCCATTATGATGGTAAAAGTTCACTTGAAATTTTCTGGGTTCCATTGAAGGTTTATCACAGCAGTATTCCATCAATGGACAGAATTCGAACTCAGGACCTCTTCTGTTCTAACAAAATTAGAGTGGTGAGATATAGTTTTGGCTGTATCGATGAAGTTAAATTTATAAGAGAACCATGTTTATTGTCTATTATGTTTTGCTTTTTCTTTTGGTCCAGGTTGTAGCAACTGTGGCGTTTGGCATGGGCCTTAACAAAAGCGACGTTGATGCTGTATTTCTTCTTCCTTGCTTTCTCAGCTCTGCGTTGCACTCCTCAACACTCTATGCATTATAATGTTACCCTTTCATTAGCATAAGAAACTTAGGTGATATTGATTCTTACTTTTTTTTTTGGAATCACGGAGTTTAACCTTTCATCTCACACTTGGACAGAGAATGTACCACTTGAGCTTGTGATCATTAGTTGCTTCCTATCCTTGCTTTGAATGATTTGTTCCTTCCTTCCTAATCTCCATTACTTATCACCCATATACTTGGGCATTATAATTCCATTTGGCATTTTTCAAGGACAATTTCCATTGGGGAAGTTCTTATGGGTTGTATAAAATCTTCAGAAATGATAACATTTTTAGTCAACAACCTAGTAGGATGGTGATTTCTCTTCAAATTTCTACATCCTTTTTTTTTGCTTTCATGTTGCCTTTTAGCTGTAAACTTCATGGCATTGTTTTTACTCAGGTTATCCATTATAGCATGCCAGAAAGCATTGAAGAGTATATCCAGGTATGATGAAAATTTCTATTCTTTCATGTTTTTTCCCTACTCATTAGCTTGGCGCTTTTGTTAGGAAACTGGACGGGCTGGGAGGGATGGAAGACATTCCATTTGCCATCTTCTTTTTGATAACTCTACTTATTATAAGCTTCGTAGCCTTTTATATAGGTAGGCGCATCTCCCTTTTTATTTTCTTTATAGGGTGAGCCATAACATACTAAATGGCTATGCTTGCAGTGATGGGGTTGATGAATATCAAATAATCAAGCTTCTATGTCAAATTTTCGTGAAGGACACTAACTTAGACGAGAGTATTGGCTACTTAATTAAAGAAGCCGTATCATTTAAATTTGATATTAAAGAAGAGGTTTGTTCTTTGTTTTATTTTAGTCACCATCCTTATCTTCCATTCCCAATTCGATATCATAAAGTATATTATGCTTATTCTACAAGCGTATATTATGATTTTCTTAAATGATGTAGCTCTTGCTTTGTTAGTTTTTTTCCTTACTGGCGCATTCTTGAGTATCTTTCTCAGTATTTTCGATGTATATACAAGAATTTTTTTATTGTAAATGCTGCCTCTTTGGGGCAGTGGCAAGAAGCTTGATGCGTTCATGGATCGTAGAAGATTTTTTTTCAAAGAAATTTGGATAAATGAATATATTACAAGAACATGAAACAAGTCAACACGAACATAAGATAAGTACCTACAATTCGAAAGGTAGTTGATCTCTTTCAAATCTTATAATTTGAGAGGTAGGAAGTCTCTCTCAAACCCTACCCTATGACTCTGGACAACAATCTCATGCATAACCCAAACCTTAAACAAATTAGCCCTATTTATACTATAATAATAAATAACAATAATAAATAACAATAATAAATAACAAAAGATTAAATTGCCCTTAGGCACCCGTGTAATACACATCTCTTCATGACTATTGAAAACACTCTTGCAAGTTGCAAAACAATTTGGATATTTTTTGGTGGTAGCAGTGACTTTATTTTATGCCAAAATACATGACAAAATGACTAAATAACTATAACTTGAAGAAAAACCTTTTTATAAATCACTGAAACTTTATTTGTCATGTAGTGTAAAAGAAATTTTTGGTGTGCTATAGTTATTTATTTGAGGCGAAATACATTAGTTAAATCATGAAGCGACATTTCAAGCTTGTAGATTCTGTTTCTCTGGTTTTATCCAGGTTAGATAGTTGTATGTAATTTTATTTAAAATGAAGATGTTAAAGTAACATTAGTAATTCAATTAGAGATTAAGATAATGCGGCTAATGTTTTACTTCATAAATATACTGAGAATTCAAAGTTTCATTGAATATTGGAGATCTAACTAGAGTATTTAACGTGGGAACCGTTGGCTTACCTAATTGCAACGAGGCTATTAAGGCTTGAGTGGTGGCAGCAGCCTTTTCGGGGAAGAAAAAGTAAAATTAATTTTTCCTTTCGATTTTCCATACTGCTTAGTTGATAGATTGAAGATCACTGAACCATAGGATTACTGTTCACAACTGTTTGGGTTGTTTGCAGGTTTTATCGACAGTGCTGACACAATTGGAGATTGGTGATGTGCAGTACATAAGGTTGCGACCTCAACTCAACGTCACATGCACGATGTACTTTCACAAGGTCTGTTATTCATTTTCTATGATTAATTCTTTTGTAATATATTAGATAGAAATATTGGTTTCAGTTTAGCCTGTAAGAATTTCTTTGGGTTTCATGTACTGTAATTTGAATTCTTTTGCATTTAAAAATGAGGATGTCGGGTTCATGAAAAAGCATTTTTGAAGTAATGTTTTATCCTTCTATTTTATCAATACAAATAATACAATATGCCCTAAAAATTGAGGATGAGTTGAATTGAATCCAGCAATCGTGACACATTGAACTCATTTTATTAATTTTGTACTGTTGTTCACGTTTGACATGCCTTCAGCTTGATAGTAAATGTTTAAATAATGTTTCATGAACCTTTACCCGTGCTGTCTTTGACTAGATAGTCAACAAATAGAATTGAATAATGCTGTAGCTCAGGCTTTACAGATTTACACGCTGATATTGATCTTTGTTCTTTCGTTATCTCAGACATCACCTGAAGTGCTTTCTAACAAGGATGCCATAGTTTCTGCTATTATTAAAAAGTATGTATTCTATACTTAATCTTTACACGTCAAGATTAAATTTTATGTACATGCAATCATTTGTTCTCTAGAATGGATAATACTGCAATATTTATGTCAGGTCAGAGAAGAAGCATGGACATTTTATTTTTAACATCCCCACTGTAGTAAATTATGCGGGCATCATGGTCAAAGAGCTGTTGGATCACATGCAGAACCTTAAGGTCTGAAAATGAATTGAAACTCTCTATCCCTTGATTCATTCTTATTTATCGAAAAAAGCTGGCATGCTAGTTTTGTTGAGCATGATGTAACATCATATATTTCTTGAACCACCTCATTCAATGCAGCCATGTTGTTTCGTAGTTATCGACAACGAGTCAAAATAAGTTTTTTCTATATAATACAAATTGCAATTTTATATGTTTAGGAGAAAAATGTCAAAATAAACTCTATCAGGGTCGTTTTATTTCTAGACCATTTAATTGTCAAGAAATGGCCTTGGGGCTTCAAAATTAAATTTTTTTTTATATTCATTTTTTATAACTTATATTTTATAAATTAAAGATTTATTAAAGAAAGTAAATTAAAGTAATAATGTTAAATTTACCTCAATATAGTTCGTTCACGTTTTCTATAAAAATGTTCTTCTATTTTTTGTTTTTTAATCAGACAATTTAAAATTGAAATGATAGCTTAAAACAGCAGTAAGTTAAATAAAGCTAGTGAATACTCATACCCTCAAATTACAATAATATAAAAAAAAAAAGAATGGTAAGCATGCTAGTCAAAGATATTATAAATCAATATAACAGCAACAGACAATTTATTTTTTAAAATATGATTTATTTACGATAGTTTATAATATTCAATGCGTTTTATTATATTTGTAGCATGTCTCTAAATTTATATACGTACAAAAGTCATAGGAGCACCGTCTAAAATTGTGTCATCTAAGACACATCAATATCAATAATCGTTTTTATTTACGTGCACGGATCTTTTAGAGTTTCTCCACTAGTACCATAAATGAGTGAATTTCTTCATGTGTCATGCACATGCAAACATACTATGGATATAACCATCTTATAAAGATTATTTTATTCTCATTTACATAATAATCACTATACTTGTATAATATTTAATTTACTTGATAATTTAAATAACTATGAGTATACAAGTCATTTCTACAATATGAATAAATTTCAATAGAATGAAAAAAAAAACATTACTTTGCAATGATTTCAATATAACAAGTGACAGTAATCAGTTAATGCATTTGGTCAAGAGGATACACAATGATATTATAGCATAAAAATATGAGTACTCACCTCGATGTTCTTCACAACTTATTTTTCAAGTCGCAACTCTTTCATTGAACACCTATTATATAAAAATATACATATTAATAAAATTTTTATCCCTTTACTAATTATGCTAATTAATTATTTTTAAGATCAAGTAGCTTTTGCTCCACGCTTCCGACAACTTTGAGGTAGCAGGTCTGGGACTACTCTAGGTTGCTTCGGATGGTGATGACCCCTCGTCGCCCGAAAACTTTACCACCACATGGTTTTTGAGAAGGGGCCGATCGGAGATGGTGTTGTTGGTTGGAGGTGAATCAACCACTGGGAAATCATCCATGTTGGTGAATTATTTGTAATTTTTCCCTCAAATGACCGCCTTAAGTATGCTTTCTAGGATTTTTTTTTCTCTCGCTGAGAAGCCATGGAGTGCTATAGTAGTTGTCAGCCGTTCACTTCCTAGGCCAATCTCGTCAAACTACTTTTTGAACATGATTTTCACGGAGCTTCTAGTGTCGATAAGGTTGCTACCAATATGTAGTTGCTTATTAAGGCGATATTGAATATATAATCATTATAAGTATTTCTCTTGGTAGACAAATCCGCGCCGGTGAATGTGATGGGGTGGGATGGGATGGGATGGGGTGGCTGCGTTTTGTATCAAAGGCGGTTGCATACAAATCTCTTTACCGAAGCCTTTTCAGGCAGGCTCGGTGGGACAATTCTCATCTCCTTTGAAGACAGCTGGGGTCACGCCAACAATGTGAATTGTATGCGCTCAAACTATTTTATCCGAAATCTATTCCGTTGGAGCTTTTTCCTGGCTCTGGGTGTTTTTTGTCAGTTTTGATCAACTTCTCGATCAGACTTCAGAGGTGTCTACAATCCTTCGTGTCGCGGTCGTGATCACGATGGTATGTGCAGTACTTCTTCAGATCCCAGAGGTTAGCTCTGGTGTTCATTATGGGAGTTATCTTAGAGTTTTTCTTTCTTGATGCAGCTAATTTTCCTTCGACACTTGCTAGTGTCAGGATAATTTTTTGGGATGAAATGTGCAAATGCTTATTGGCCGTCGAGCACAATCTGTTTCACTGGGATAACTCACAGGTGGAATTGCAGGCGTTTCTTCATATCCAATATGTTATCTAGCCTTGGATGACCAAATGCAATGGTTTAATCGTGGAATGGGACAACCTTAATGTTATAGAGTTTCTTAGGTGCTCAATGAAGGAAAGGGCTTGGCAACAACAACTCCTCGGGCCAATGATGACTTTTTTGACAAATTTTGTGCAGACGCTCTTTCCATACTACTAGATCTAACAACATGGTGGCTCGTTTTTAGTTCCCAGTTAGCCTTAAAGGAATACTTTATTTTATCTAGTTTAGCTGATAATCACCCACTTCTTATTTTTGTTCATGGGGATATTTGGTCTTTGGCTTTTACTTGTACTTTTCTTTTTACCATTAATGCAAATATGTACACTTTGAAGGATGGCCACTTCTCGGCCATTGATATCCTCAACGAATTGTCTTGGGCATCTGGTGACGAGGCAGCGAACACTCATTATACCGAGTCGATCGTTGGTTAGGATATCTGGCATGGCTCCCACGTGTATAGGGATTGTCGGCTTCCTTGTGTTCTCTTGGCAAGCAATTGTCTTAATTACGTGAATGAGCAGAAGGACGTGAACCATCCCTCATTCTCTGCTTATCGTCCTTTGGAGCCATCTTCTTTAGATGACGTGTGGAATACTCTGCTCTAACGGAAGTGTGGGGGAGGGGGGAGTTATATTTTTTGGTCGATATGTGGTTGTTGGTTGGCTCCATCAACTCGGTTAAGGTCTTCAGTCGCAACAGGCCTAGAGCATACCGAAACAGACCTTCCTTTCATCAACTTGGGCTCTGTTGGCATGTACTAATGCGGGTTCTAGATCCAGCACTTCTAACATCTCCTTCAGAAATCGAGTAATGAAGGAGGAGAGATTCTCATTCTTTCATTGCCTTATCTTCAAAAGGTCATGTGAATTTTTCAGGGACTTTTGGGCAACACAAACTGTGCCAAAGACATCCTTTTGAAGTCAGTGAACGAGGTGATCACCCTTGGTGGCAATCTGTTGAACTACTTAAGTGCTGAATCATTCAGCGTGGTGAAGAGGCGATACTTTAGTGCGTCCGTAAACATATGGTCTTCTCGAAGGATGCTATGTGGTCGATCGGTTCAGTTCCGCCGTTGTACGATTTCAGTGCATGGATTTTGAATCTTTATGGGGGATCAATTTGAGAAATCTGTCGAGAAAACACATTCTTTGGCTGGCAAAGAGCTTCAATGCGCCCGAACTTCTGTTTATCGATCCGTGCCTACACAACACTATCAAAGTACTGAGAATCTCTTTCCTTTTTCATAAGGGCACCTTTCGATTGTTGGCTGCTAGCACATCCTCTCAGGGATTCTGCTTCCTTTCCAAAGACCATGCCTCTCGGAGGGCATCCGTCATCTGATCCTTTGGTTTCTTGATTTGTTGTTGTACGAGCACCCTAGTGTTGTCAATGTTATAGTGTCTTTGTTGTGTTTTTTTTTGTGTGCGGTAATTTTTTTCTGTAGCATGATTCATTCTCACCGTAGCTTTTGGGATGTTGAATCCTAATTTGTCTGTGAATCATATCCAATGAATAGTGTATAACATGAGAGAAAATTGCATAATAATGAACAATAAATAATATTATTGATTAGCCTTTTGTCATTAAATGATTCCCTTATTTATAGAGGGGGTATAATGTATGAAGTTACGTGTTTGCCTCAATTTTAATGGGGGTTTTACATGATTTTTCTAGTCTTTTACATGTATGGGCTTATGACCCGGCTACCCTAATTAAACTGAAATCAGTGGGCCTTGGTTCGGCAAGATTTGCTCGTCCGACTGTGTTGAATCGGAGTTGTCTGTTGGCCTTTGACGGCTTCGAATTGGCAAGACTGACTTGATTGACTTGGCTTTGCTAATTGGTCGTTTTAGTCTGACTGTTGACCGTTGATCCCTGGATGAGGAGCTTCTGCCCGTATAACAATTCCAGGCTATCAGATAGAGGGTGAATTATTGTAATCCGATATATAGCTCCTTTTTTCATCGAGGGTATCCTTCGTGATATTTGTGAGTTATGTTAGCCAATGCTTGACCCCTGATGAGGAATCCTAGAGGCGTTTATGAGATGACTGGCGATACAAAACTATTCCCTTTCGTCAGATTGATGCCTTTACTTGGCTCGATTGGCCTTAGTCCTTGGTTTGGATGACCCACATTTGGTCGGCCTCCAGCTTTGCTTCAGTGGGTTGCATTTGGCCAAGTGATTGAGTACTTTGGTCTCCTGCCAGTGGGTTCTTTTTGTTATACTTCTCTGTCCTAGTTCGTTATATCTGCTCAAGATTCGTGCTTAACCATTTCTGATGTACACCTATGTTTAGAAATAGGGTGAACAAGGTGAGATCAAATCAAATTTACTTTAAATCTAATCTTACAAATCTCAAATACAACGTAATCCCAAACTATAATTTGTTCTAATTTCATACTAGAATAAATCTAAAAATTCTTATTAGCTAAAATGAATCTTAAGCCTAAATTTATGGTTATGTGGAACTTATTTTTTGTGGAACGAAAAACAACATCATTCTCCATATGCCAAGTTTAGGGGATGGCTTAATGAAATCATTGGCTGAAATTATCTTCAGAATTGATTTGATCGATCATTTTTACCCTATTCAAATTTGGGTCGATCTGAAATTAGAATTTTTTTTTGTTTAAGTTGAATTTTGCCCACTCGAACTCAACTTTACTATATTACTTTTTTGTTTAATTTTAGTTTAAGTAGGCACTCGGCCCTTCTCTTGTTTTTTTATGAAGCATATTTTCATTTTTGCTGCTTTAATCTAGAGTTGTTTTTTCTTCACTTAAGCTTGATGTGAGTGAGCTTTTTATTTCCCATCATTTCGACTTATATGGTGTAATATTTTTCATTGTAATTTTAGAAAATTTACCCTCCAGCATTTCTGATTTTCTTATATTGCATTGGTATTTGGAGTCATTTCTTCATTTTAACGATATGCTATTTTAATTCTAAATAATTGTTATTGTAAATGTCCCGAGTTTTTTTTTAAATTGTATCTATTTTACTCTCACTGAGTTTGGTTGATATCATTCATCTTTGTACTCTCAGTTTCAAATATTGTGTTGCACTACTAGGCAACTCATGCATAATTTTTTACTGATTCTTAAGCTGACTTTTTATCTATCCCTTTAATTGCAAACTCAGCACTTGGGAGAAATAACATACGATCTGAAGGATCCAGCCTTCTGCTTCTCAGTTGTTAAGAAGCCAAACGATTTCTATTCTCTTTCAGCTCATCTGGCAAAATTTTTATCAGAGGTCGAGAAATGCAAGGTAATTTTTTATTATCAGTTTATGGATTCACTGCTGAAAAATCTGAATAGTATTTGCACTCTTAGGAAAATTGATAGACTTGTATCATTTTGACATGATGTGGTATTGGGTGTCTTGGTAGGCCTATCATTCTGGGTACTGCTGTTGTGTTTAATAACAGTTAATTGTTCTCAGCCTTCATCCATTGCCATGCTACACATGCTGAGAACTTATTATCCACCTTATAGGTACAGAAGTTAGATGAAATGTTGAATTTGGCACATTTTGCTTTAAAAGAATGCAGAGGGCTTGATGGATGTTCTGGTTCTGTGCATACTCCATGCATCCAAAAAAGGATTGTAGAATACTTTTGCAGGGATCATAATGTTCATCCAGAGCTCACCTTCTGTAGCCCACAAAGCAGGTTGACAAATCTTGTGCTTTTCCCTGCAAAATAGATCTTAAAGTTTTATTGGTATTGTACTAACCATTCACGTTGCACAGCCCATATCTACATGCGGATATTAAGGTTAGTTGCCAATGCACCTTTTCTTTTCGAGTCTGTGTGCTCTTAGTTATTATTTAATATGAATTGATGAAGCTTCATTGATTTTTTCACCAAGGTGTTCTTACAAGCAAATTCACATGCCAAATTTACACCAAGGGCAGTTGCAAGGATTTTGCATGGCATTCCAAGTCCTGTTTTTCCATCTGCAACTTGGTCAAAATGTCATTTTTGGTAAGAGAGAACAACTATTTTTTAGGAATAATTACATACGCAGCACACAATTCTTTTGTATATACGAATCTCACACTTAAAATTTTCATTTTTACACACATATCATTTCATTTTTACACACTACACACATATCACTTTACCTATGGATGAAAAGATGGATTTGACTATTAAAAGGTTATAATAAATGCTATTTTTCATATGATGCTTGTAAATATAAAAGATTTGGTGTGAGATAGGTGAATCCATAAGAATTGAGTTCTATGTATGCAAATGTTTTTTTTTTAATTCCTAAAACATAAATTATGCATATGTTTTCATGAATTTTGCTAATGTAAAATTTTCTATTGCTTGCTTTTTTGTATTCTGGCCTTTAAACGTTCAACAAAGAATTCTTAAAAATGAACAACCATCCTTTTAGTGGAGCAGATAGCATTGCATGGTTTAGTTATTCTAGAAGATTAAGTTTGGTCTCTTGACTTTAACTCCTTGAGATGCAAGTGCTATGATACTGGAATTAAACCAAATCACATGTCACACCTCAATTGCATAGGAATGGCTTCCTCTTCTCATACCTAATCTAAACATATTCTGAGGGAACATGAAAAGACTTGGTCTTAAAAGGCGACTTCAACACTTTAATAATTTTTAATGAATTTAATTTCATTTTGTCAAAGTAAGTTCTCTTTATCTCGACTGGACCCGGGGCTTGAAATTAACTAAGAAAGGAACATATTGTTTGTCGGCGAAATTCAATTTTCAATTATTCTATTTCTATCATAAGTTGTTTAATATCCAAATGTTAATTAAAGGTGCTACTATTTAAAGAATTTTAATTAACATATAAAAATTTCTTTCTAGTTGTTGATGTCATCCCCTATACACATTAGCTTCTCTAGTATTCATCTTATTCCAAAACTTAAAACCTATAAAAAATATTAAAATAATGTAATGAGTTATCCAAGATAACATAGTGGAACAATTATACTTCTAATTCATAGTAACTGAAAGAAAGCACTATGCATGTTGGTCTCGTTTAATATTTTTTTAAAAAAAATTATGTAATAATCTAATATTTGTGTTCATGACATTCACTCGTTGAAATGAATTTAAATTTTGATATGCATTAACTTTAATTTTACTCTTCAATGTTTAATCTTTAACTTTAACTTCATACTCTTAAAATTTACATGTCATGTGGGCACCATTAAACCATTACCTAACACTAGGGCTGTAATCGAACCGAGCCGAGCTGAGTATGTATTTTTTTGACTTGGCTTGGTATAATTATAAGTTTTCATGTTCGGCTTGAGCTTGTGCCAAACTTTCATTCACTGTTCAAGCTTGACTTGTTTAACTTTTTCAATGTATGAACTTGATTTGTACTTGATTTGTTTGTGACATGGGAATTAGTATTTAAACAAGCTAAAAATTCAAACAAGAATCAAGATTTTCACATTAAAAATTAAATAAATAATTTTGCAATTATAATCGCAGCTACTAATATGTTGATTATGAAATCTAAAATCTTTAAATTTTACTAATAAGCTACATAATTTTTATTGATAGGACTACATTAGTTCAAATTTTGTAAATGGAAGGACTAAATTGATTTTAAAAGTTATAAGGATAATCATTTACTTAGTTATATTAAAAAGAAAATAATAACAATAAGGTAATTCACATTATTGTTGTTGATAATTGCAGTGTGATGGTCATAAAAAATGAACTCATTATATTCAAGATTTTGAAAACTCTCAAGAAAATTTTTTTATGATGCTATCTTTAACAGTAAATATCTCATTCGAAATTACCATTAACTTATTAATAAACTAAATAAATAATTAATAATTAAAAAAATATCATTGATATAATAATATATTAATATTAAATCTATAATTAAATATATTATATCAGATTAAATTTCATTTAAGTAATATATCATATATGTGGTGCACATCCTCTTAGTATGCACATATAACATATCTACATCATTTTATTTTTCATAACATACATTCTTCTTTTATGAGACATTTTATATTTATCTACTAATGAATAAATGTTTACTAAATCCTTAGATTATGAAATAGAATGATATATGACATATTTGAATTTAATTGTATTGTTGTAATGTCACATTTTAAAAAAAACTATAAGGCATTTGTTAATTTATAAATACCAACATGCATGCTTCATGCAGAACAATATGAAAATTCAATTGTAACCTAAGCCTCAATGATTTATAATATAGTATTAAAAACAAATAAAATTATATCTCAAACTTTTCGTCTTTCTTTCTTCTATTACTCTTCCAATTTAATAACTTGAACTTGTCAAAATCAAATATTTTTCACTTAAGTTTGCTATTTACATCTATCAATCTCAATTAACATTAATTTAACAATTCAAAATAACTTACATAAATAACAACATCAAGCCTATTCATTCTTTTCTTTATCTCCTTGCAAAAATTCACGATCTAAAGCTCTTATGTTTTGGATGAAAATTTATTTAGTCACTGATTTCAACTACCATAATTTCATATGAATGTTTAAATAAAATTTCAATTATATAGCTTAAGTTCTAAAAAGAAATTAATAAACTTTTAACTCAATAAAGCTCGGCTCGGCTACATTGCATATGAGGATCCTTCTTTCGTACATAAGCCGCATGTTTCTCGTTCTCTCTTCTTCTACTTGAACCTGCATAGGAATGCTTGGCTTAGTTTTATTTCTTTCTTGTCCATAATGTCGATCACACGTGAAACGACCAGTTTCACTTGGGCTTCAGCTTGTTTATATTTCACACGGGACTCTCGCTCGATATACACTCTCGCGTGAAGGACTATCTTCCCTTCTCTTTTGCTTCATCTCTTGCATGCACTTTAGCTAGGGTTTGTGTCGTCACCACTTCTTCCATCGCACATGACACTTTCAGACAACGTTGCCTACTCTTTTGAAGCGCAAACAACGCTTCTTCTGCACACTCATGGCTAGGGTTTCTCCTGCGGCTTCAAAATTTGTTTTCCATTCTCTTGCTTGAGTGCCATGTCATACAACATCATCACCTTTTCTTCATCATCTCCCGCTCTCTCTCTCCGCCTTCTTTATTTCATTCGGTTCGAACCAGACGTTCGACCCTTCAAATGAAACTGTTGAGATGGATTTTTCCCTTTGAAATGGTCTCATCAAAATTATTTTATTTTATTTTATTTATATTATTATTATTATTTTAACACAGTTATTACAGTATTCCTTCATAAAAATTTCATCATCAAAATTATAAACTTCTCAGAAGTTAACTATTATGTTGTTGGAACATGAATTATCTCAAAATTATCATGTCTAATTCTTATTAAGGGTCTGATTGAGACAACTGCAGCTTATCGATAAGTTGTTGCAGATAAGCTGATTGATTGTTTGTTTTTTTACAGTTGTAAAATAGATGTGCGACAACTGTTTCTGGATAAATGAATATTCCATCCATATGTAGTAATGTTGTTTGTAACAGAACCATCATAACAATATATTTGATAATTGAGAAACAAAAATTTCTCTTCAGAACATTACAAAAAATAAGATATATACTTTATTTAGCAGTGAGTATTATGATTATTAAAATAAAGAAAAAATTATTAAAATAAAATTTAATAATAAAATAATAATATTTTAAAGATAAAGATGACGTATGTCACGAGCTACGCCGTCATCCTAGGATACTATCCATTCCCAATTACTCGGCGGTGGAATCTGCCAGACTGTCTGCCTACAAGAAGAATTCACACTTCTCTTTGATTCTCCACGAACACCTATAGACTCGATGCCTGTAGCTATGTGTCCGACGTGATGTCAGTAGGGAAGTCTGAAGTCCGAAATGACACAACAGTCTACGGGAGGTCCCATAAAGCATAAAGCTCATCTTTCCTGAATGCTTTAAAAGACAGAATTAATTATAGTTTTGTGCAGACGCGAGTTTTCAGAAAACTCAATATACTAACCAATGAACCTGTTACTATAAGAAGATAACAAACCTTGTAAAAAAAGGTTTGTGGTTAATTTCAATTCACGTAATATCAAGCTCGCGTGTGTCACATATGCAGATCATCAAAAAAGTCATCCAGAACCTTAAAAATTGCACCACTGATAAGAAGAGAGGAACATGATTGCCCTCATTAGGATTTCACATGTGACACCAACCAACAAGGATTAACAGACCATCTAGAAAAACCCATAAGATCTAATTTATCATTAGGGGCCACTCAAATCCAACAAAAAAAATGAAATGCAAATGGAAAATAAACACTTACAAATAGCATAAAAGACCTAACATATGAGGATCAAATAATGAGAGGAAATCAACAAATAATAAAATAATAAATGCTACAATCACCCTCCTACTTTGACATCCATAATTTGTTTTCTCAACTCTGTTATATCACTTGCACTTTCCCGTTTTTTAGTACAGATGGTGGAAGTTTCGTTCTCAAAGTTTGACAAATAATGTTCAAGATAGTACTCAAATGCCCCGGCAGGTGCAGGCTCTTTATCCCCATCAGTTCTACGAAAGTCAATATTATTGCATGAACGATCATGTCGAATGTAACTATGGAGAGTCATCATGACAATCACAATCTGCACTTGTTTGAGGAACGAGTAATATGACATATCGCGGAGTATAACTCATTTCTTCTTCCAAACACTTAAAATTCTCTCAATGACACCACATAAGGAGGAATGTCCTTTATTGAACATTTATTTTCTGTCTTGTGTTACATTGCTCGTTTGCTCGAAGTTAGGTATGTGGTATCTCGTATCAGGATAGGACTTGAGATACCTTCACTGCATTGACCATCTGGCATCAACAAAATTGTATTTACCTGATATGCATTGCATGATTAGTATTGAGGGAAAAATGAATTACGAGAGTCATCATCAAAGTTATATTTACCCGATATGCATTGCATGATTAATATTGAGGAAAAACTAAATTAAGAGAGTAGCTGA